TCGCTGGCGTCGGTGTCGAGCACGAATTTCCCCGCATCGCTGGCAGTATTGGGAAAAACAAGAATGGGACTAGAGCAAAGCTTGTCCTTAAGTGACTGGAAGCTATTGACACAGTCAGCAGTCCACTTAAACTTAACATCCTTCTGCGTCAATTTATGGAGAGGGCCGGCTATATGTGCATAATCTTTGATAAAACGTCTGTAGTACGAGGCTAGACCTAGAAAACTACGAAGTTCCGTCACATTTCCCGGGGTGGGCCAGTCGCGGATATGCTTTCCGGACCTCAGGGTCTGATAGGCCGTTGACAAACTGCTCCATGACCATATAGTTCAAGGAGTTCAGGTCCAACTGTGGATAGGCCTGTTTGCCCAGAAGACGGAGAGCCTCTTGGTATTGAAGGACGCTCTCCAGGGGTCCTTGAAGTTGCTGGCGGAACTCAGAGATGAGGATCCACGAAGGGTTGGCCTGGCGCAGAACACCGCTTAAGGTTTTGAAGAGGTCCTCCACAGATTGAGTCGACGAGGCACCAGCGGCACGGGCAAGGTCGTAGACATCGTCCTCTAGTTGGGCCAGAATCGTTCGGGTCTGGGACGCCTCATCCACTCCTTCGAGGTAATCACGCATGCGGGCTTCCCATCGCGGATAATCACATGATAGCGTCAAACGCGAGGACTGAAGGCTAACCTGGGACAGTTGGGCCAATAAGTTCTCGAGGAGGTTGTTGGCCATGGTGAGCACATCTGCCACCAAAATCTAATGCGTGGGCGACGACCAAGAGCAAATGGTTTCGGAAAGGGGCCAACGAACGACCAATGTGGCAGTTAGTCCAAAAAAAGGGAGTCACTGGCTTGGGAAGAGTCTCTTAAAGGTCCTAGTAACAAAGATAATCTAAGGGGGAGAACCTTATACAAAAATAAACTGTGGGGGAATTACTGTCCTTGAACAGAATAGCAGATCGATCCTTCGCTTGACGGGGACGGCCGTAACGACGGTGGTGGTGCGCCAAAAAACGGGTTCGCAGTCCTCAGTTGGCCTCGTTATTTATCGCTGCCATCAAGGTCGTCCAGGGAGCGGCCATTGCGGTGTAAAGTAAAACAAA